AACAATAGAAGCAGCAACTTGGGTCATACCCTAATCAGGATTACTCGTCTGTTTCAGTCACCTGCACTCTTCACACAGACATAGTGAGGACTGCTTCACTAAGAGAAGCCCTTCCTCACCAGAGTTGGGGATCCAGGCACTGAGGAAGAGATCCTATCACAGCCCTCAACTATTTCCCTTCTCTGCACCTCCCCAGTTGCTGCTTCTCTTGTTTACAATTTGAGCCATTTAACTGTTTCTTAAAACATGCTAAATTTCATTTCCCTAGCCACCCATCCTCTGTAGCATTTTTCTAGATGACAAATGTTGCCTATACTCATCACAAAACTCAGTCAGATAAGGTGAGGAAAAACCGTGTAGTACATTCAATTGATTTTAAATATTGGGCACTTATTTATGGAATGTTCCAGAAACTACAAGCAAAACCAGTTTGCAGCACAATTAGCAACAGCATATGGAATATGTCAGAGGGTTTCTTCAAAATCATAACATGCATTTTTTTTGTTGTGGGACTGAAAACTGCCAAAACTTACTTCTCTTTCAACTATAAACAGGTTGCACTTCTGAAAATGATGGAAGTGGAAGGCAATTGGACCCTGGTCACTGAATTTGTCTTGGTTGGTTTTACAACAGATCCATTTCTACGAATAATCTTCTTTGTGCTGTTCTTGGCCTCCTATACCCTAACACTGATTGGGAACCTTGGTCTCATGTCCTTAATCTACCTGGACTCCCGTTTGCACACACCCATGTACTTCTTTGTTGGCAGCCTTTCCTTCCTGGATGTCTGGTACTCCACAGTCTACACTCCTCGGATCTTGTCTGACTGTGTGTCCACAAACAACCACATGTCCCTTGCTGGTTGTGCAGCCCAGTTCTTCTTCTCTGCTGGATTAACCTTCAGTGAATGCTTCCTATTGGCCTTCATGGCCTATGACCGCTTTGTGGCCATATGCAACCCACTCCTTTATGCCACTGCCATGCCCAAGAAGCTCTGTGTTCAGCTAGTGGTGGGGTCTTATGTAGCCGGCTTTGCCAATTCAATTGTACACAGTGGTAACACCTTCCGCCTATGCTTCTGTGGTAGTAATATCATAAACCACTACTTTTGTGATGTACTACCACTTGTGAAGATGGCTTGTGATAACACACAAGTGCATGAACTCATCCTGAAAGCTACCATTGGTTGTAATTTGCTAGTAACCACAGCTATCATTGTGAGCTCCTACATTGGTATTGGGGCAGCCATAATCCGCATTCGCTCTGCTGAAGGGAGACGCAAAGCTTTCTTCACTTGTTCAGCTCACCTGGTCTCAGTCACTCTCTTCTATGGCTCCATTCTCATCATGTATTCCAGATCCAACTCTCAACATGCACCCAATTGGGACAAGGTAAATGCATTGTTCTATACAGTTGTCAACCCACTGGTCAATCCTTTGATTTACAGTTTACGCAACAAAGATGTGAAGGCAGCCTTCAAGAAAGTCTGGGGGAGATTAACAGCAAACAAAATAATGGCACTGACATATTATTTATTCAAATTAGATTGCAGATTCAGAAATTAACCACTACTCTCTAGTGAGAGCCTTCCTTCCTTCCTCCTTCCTTCCTTCCTCCCTCCCTCCTTCCTTCCCTCCTTCCCTCCTTCCCTCCTTCCTTCCTTCCTTCTTTCTTCAGTGGAGAGAGGCAGCATGTCCTCGAAATCTCCAAACTCACTTCTTTTAATAGCTGATTATTTGCCATGAATGCATCTTCCTTCATCTTTTCCTGTATAATTACATCCTCAAAGTTATTATACACAAGAAAAGAAAAGAAAAGAAAAATAGGTAGACAGAATCTACTGTATTTTTTGGAGTATAAGACACACCTTTTTCCCTTAAAAAAGAGGCTGAAATTCTGGATGCGTCTTATACACTGAATACAGCATTTTTTTGCCTCCTGAAGCCCCGCCCCATCACCAAAATGGCCGTGCAAAGCCTATAGAAGACTTTCAGAGAGCTCCTGGGGGCTGGGAAGGGCAGAAATGAGTGAAAAACAGGCCTTTTTTGCTCAATTCTGCCCTCCCCCTCAGCTCCCAGGAGTACTCAATAAGCCTCCT